TGGGAGGTGTGTAACTGCCGCCAGTTGTATGGCTAGAAAACGCAGGCTGCCGACAGAAGGCCACAAAGACTATTGAATCACTCCTTCTCAACTTCATCACTGCCTTGGCCCTATGAATTTATGCCTCTCCTTGGCCTTCCATCTTCTGCCGAGAGAATAATGGGGATATTGAAGTGTTCTTCAGGCTAATCCCATTGCAGCAGTTCAAAAACACCAAATGAGATTTTGGACTTCAAGGTGGACCAACTCAAGCAAGCTAGTTGGCACACAGAAGACACTCAAAACGTATCAGTAGAGAACATTGAAGATTGAATGCAAAGCCTACATTTGTTCCACGGGATTCTGGAGAAAACAGCTGTTAAAGAAGTCTTCAAAGAGCCCAAAACAACCTTAAATGAAGATTCAGAATTATTTCAGAGAAGTCAACTCTAATTCAGCCTGTACTGTTCTTTGAGGCTGGTGTTGCTAATGCTAATTCTTATGCCACAGTCAGAGCCATGGATAGTCCAGGAAAAGGATGCTTGCACTGCATCATTCACAAGTTCTGGGCATGACCCAGACACACGGTATAGGCTCCTCACCCATCCGTGCAACAGATGCGTCTGCTCCTCCCCTAGGTAGGGACATGGAAAGGCTTCGGATCCCGGGGTCTTAAATCTTGAAGAGCCTTTAGAGATTCATGACCCTCCCTTCTTTACAGATGAGATAACTAAGGTCCAGAGAATTAAGGGATTTTGTCACACAAGGAATTGAGGTTGATGGAGAAATATCTGTAAAGCGAGTGAGGCATTTTAGTGTTCTGAGTTGAAATCACTGATCTAAGACAGTTGTTCATTCAAAATCTGATGCTTCAAACATGCCACTGTCTTACTCAAACTTTTAAGCTGAGATTTTGATAATTAACATCAAGTGTAGGTAAAAGTGGGGCATGGGGTGGGGGCAGTTAACTACAGCTTCAAAGAAACCAAATCTAAATATAATTCCCCACCACCTTGTTGGGATACAAAAGACATCCTCTAGTACCTTTTTCTCCGCATTAAATGCACTACAATGAGAGGTCAGTTGACCTTTGTTCCCTGGATTATTCTGACATTGTTCAAAGAGCCTCCCAGTTTGCACTTCTCAGGGGCCAGGTGCGAGGCCGCCCCTGAACACTGGTCCCCAGGCCTTACTGTCAAATTCAGCAATTATTTTCTCTCTCTCTGCAGCTGCACTCAGAAGACTGCTTTTGTGGACCACCAGGAATTTCCTGTGATAGAATATCAGAAAGCTACTGGTGACTCGGAGGAGGTGACTTCACAGGGCAAAAGTTCCCTTTCTACAATAAACATTCTCAGTGTGGCCGTGTAGGAGACTTCCTACACAGACCCCACACCTATGAGCCACTTGTCATCTTGACACCAAATAGCCAGAGAAAGAAACAGAACCATTTGTAAGAGATTATCTTTTTTTTAAGTGAATTTGCCTATGGTTTCTGACTATGTGAACATCACCATGAAAACCAATGAAAAAAATCTTACCCAGAAAAGATTTTAAGAGAACACAGGCATTTTATAAAGCAAACAGACAAGCCAGTTCATAGCTCCTAGGCGAGGGATGGAGGTTGTCAAATAACTATAAAGGCGCTTCAGTATCTTGAAGGGACATGAGCAGGACCTTGCTGCCTGGCACACCCACCCGCCTCGTGCCCCCACGGGAGGCCGGGGAGCATCAGAGGCATAACCATCGCCATAGTGCGGGAGCCTTTACTTCTCCAACAGCCATTCCAAACGTTACCGCTCAGAAAAGACTCACTAAAGAAAAAGGCCACAACTGCTAGGTGATCAGCAGTCGGAGGCAGTGCACACCTGAGACACGTCTGATGCTCTACATGCCAGAGGAGAGAGTGGTCCAAGGGCAGAGGGCAGCCAGCACACCGGGCAGGCGCCTCCCCAATGTGCCACTGACGGCCGCTGCCACTCCAAGCAAAACTGCTTTGACGTTTCCTCTTCTTTCAAATACTACACTGACTCCTTATCTCATCCTTGTGTCTTAATGGCATAACGGATACTCATCCACAAAATCTCACTCCAGAACCTGCTAGTATCATCATGCGTAAATAAGAAAAACTACGATGGATTAACTGCCTTGCTAGTGTGATAGACAATGAATCTATCAAAAGCTGAAGCTGAGCTTCAAACTTTTTGAGGATCTTTATAATAATCCATATTTTTAGCAGGGACTCTTGCCGACACACTGGCTGCCCCGTCCACCTAGTTTACAGCTTTGACCTCCCAACTTTCATGTGTTCCATTGGTCAGTGTTTCCCATTCACATGATTAGGCTCCTCAGGTGGCTAATAAGCTCCTCTCCTTTTCATAAAATAGGACCTCATGGTTTGCTTAGGCTCCAGTTTTCCTAGGGGTGCTCTCTCCCTCCCTCACACAAGCATGCGTGCACATACACATACACACACACACTCTCACACACACACACGACACTGCAAGCAGCTAGAGTTCTTACCAGGCTTTCTGTTAAAAGGTGACAGCAGCTGGGTTGAATTGCAGGTGGAGCCGGCAGCTGTCCTCGCACGTGTCCTCAAATTCCTGTCCTGTGCATCCCCCAAACCCTATCTCCCCCAAGGGTCAAGCAGAAGGCCAGTATGACAAGCAGCAAACACAGACTTCTACCATCTTTAGTATAGCCCCAGTATCTTCATGGGGCTCCACAGGGGTTCTCCTAAAGAGCTTCACCCATCTCCTTGTTTCCTGTTTCCATATGAATTGAAATTACAGGCAGGATTTTGTAGCAAAATGTTGCCACCTCTTATACCTTTTCTGAGGCAAAATAGTTTGCTTTTGAAGTCACTTCCACTGTTTCCATCTGAGGATTTGACAGCAGCTCCTTTCTACACCACAAGTGTGGGTGACCCAGGCTGCCCCCTCCATGCCTGGGCACTCTGGTCAAGCCTGTCCTTGTTTGCAGTGGGGCACTTTGGCCCAACGACGGTGATTCCAGGGCATGGTCTAGGAAAAGGAACCAGCAGGTACCACACATGACAGGATTTCAGATTCTATCCTTCTCCTAACAGCACATTAAATCTTCAGAGACGTCTTAGCAACCCATCCCTCCACCCAGTAACCAGCCCCATGACTTTCCCACCCCAGGCAGAGCTCTGTCTCTGGTGGAGCCCCCAGGCATACTGTAAGATTTGGGGTAAGGATGAAGAGGCATACCAGTCTCCCCGCTTCTCAGAAGCTACTTAAGCCCCTCTCAGCAGCAGCTTTGTCCTGAAACACAAGCTTACTCCTCCCGTCCTGCAGCAGCGGTGGCTCCACTCCTGAGCTGCCGCTCCATTTCTCATTACTCGCTCTTTCTCCTTTCCCAGGATGCCTGGGTTCAACCTTGACTTTCATCCATTGTTTAGCTTCCACCTGGTCAATCTCCTCAACCATGGCTGCACCACTGCAAAGTAACATTTACAAACACATTTGTTTAGGCTTAATAAACTGGCACCGACTTCTTCTCTATAGAATATTCAGGAAGGATATATACAATGGGACCCAGACAGAGACCAGAACTGAAGGATGGAACTAGCACCCGGGAGTGAGGTAATCCGGATCTTGGCGCAGACAGCCCCACCAAGCTGTGACACAGAACAAGGGACATCTTCTTGCCAGACCTCAGCTTGCTTCCTCTAGTGTAAACTAACAGTATATAATCAGAGGCGCTCTGTGGCCCTGAGGCTCTAAAATCTCAACTAAGTAAGATGGTGCCTGAGCGCTTACCTAGAACCAGGCATTACACAGCTCAGATCCCTGTCCCCGTGAACTTAGCATAATGGGGAAGGCAGATATCAAACAAATAATCATAAACAATAAATGTAGCAGTGTCTGAATTACTACAGAGGAAAACTCAGAGTGCGCTAAAGGCAGATAATCCAGTCTGGGTACTGTGAGCGCATAAATGTTTGCAACTGCCCAGCGGCACTCACTGCATTAAGGAAACGGTGTCAACGTAGACATGACGGCACCAACAGCAAACACGTGAGTTGAGTTTCACTGGGAAATCTGGAAGGTCCAATGCCGTCACCAACACTGCAGAACTTGAAGAGAAAAAGACAAAGCAAAGGAGCCCATTTAGGCCCCAGAGCTCACCCCCCACGCCACAGGGCTCAGCCCTCCTCAACAAACGGAAGACCTCACGAGCGCACAGTTACTTCCTGGAGAGATCTCCTGCACCCATCATTCACCGGCGTGTTCATCGGCAAAAGACACTGACCCTGGCTGATTCAAGCAGAGACTGTGCATTGAACTCAAACTATCGGGGAAGCCTGGAGAACTGGGTTCAGAAAACGGGCAGGATCAAAGGCAAGCCAGGCAGGAGGAGGCCACGCAGGAGGAGGCCAGCCAGAAGCCAGCGCAGAGCCCAACCGAGGTGGGTAATGAGCACACACCTGGGTAGTCAGAGTACAGGCCCTGGAGGCAGCCTGTTTTGTTCACATCCTATCACCAACTAGCTGTGCAACCTTGAACAAGTTGTTTAACCTCTCTGTGCCTCCATTCCTCACCTGTAAAATCAACCTAAATAGGGCCATATTTCAACAAGTCTAAAATGTGTCAATTGTAAGATGTACTGCTATTTTTATAAGCCACTAAGAAAAAACACTGCCAATTGCTCTATGACACAGTACTGTCTCATCGCTTCAATTTTCTATTTTCTAAGAAATCCTTATTAAATCGATTTAGAGTCAGGTTTTTATCATTTCAATCTTATACATACAAGAAGGAAAATATGAATGTAAATTTGGATACTTCCAGATCTTTCTCTATTCAGAGCCCAACTTTCCGGAATCTCTCGTTGGCCTGGTCAATGATGTCCCCTTGTCTCCACAACCCGGCTGCTATTCTCTGGCCCATCATGGCCACCTCAAAGACGGCTCCACCCTTTTCTCCTGGTCTTGCGTCGAGACTCGGAGACCCCTTCTCCAAGTTTTGGTGCTGCTGCTTTCCGGACCTTACCAGAGGTGTCACGAAGCTTTCAGAGCACAGCCACAGCCCTTCCAAATATTCCTCGAGGGTTTTTTTTTTTTTTTCTGCCAGCCGGTGGGCATCCCCTTATGCCACCAGGAAAACAACTGTTTGCGCAGGTGGGACGATGAGCGCCCCGCGCAGGCGCGGGCGGAAGGCTCACTCACGCCGCGCAGGCGCAGGCTGAGCACGGCGTCTCAGAACCGCCGAGGCATCCCTTCCCATGAGCCAAGGCTCGCTGTGAGGCTGAGTTCCTTTACAGAAGAGCTTAGACCTAGGCCTCTACAGCGTCAGCACTCAATAAATGTCAGTTATTTCTTGCTTTTAAGATATACTTGTAGCAAATTATGAGTGTTTTATAAAAATGCGCCTTTTAATCTCAGTTTTGGAGATCGAGCAGGGCGCCTGGAAGACAAGGTAAAATGAGCGAATGCACTTTACCATTTGCATGCTTTCACAAGAAATTTGTGATGGGGGAAGTTGTCTATCAGGAGAGGGATGAATCAGTGAAGTGGTTTTTCTTTAGTTTCCCCTGAGACCTGCTCTGCTCCCAGTGACAGTGAATACACTAACCACGGAGCTAGGGTTCAGACCAGGTCAGAGTCGCAGCAAGTGAGGGACATTCCTTATGGTTCAGTGCAGGTGTCTAAGTAACTTTTGTTTTCTTATTTTTTCCGTGTCTCATTATTTAACTAGGCCGGTTATTATGTAGTGTGCTTGGAAAGCCCAAACAGCCTCATTGGTTGTTTTTTGTATTGTGATAGACTTGCAACACTACTTCTCTTTCTGACGGTGACACCTAACACACCCCCCGCACCCTGAGAGCTTGCTGGGAGATGCAAAAGGTTCTCGCTGTGGAGGAGCTGTTGGAATAGGGAGTGGAGCCAGGACCAGGACACCCTCTCCACTTCTGATGGCCTGAGTAATTACAGGGCAGGCAGGAGGCAGCGTGGCTCAGCTGGCCCATGGGGTCACTGTGCCCTCCAGAAAAGCCTTTATTTCACAATCCTTTTCCAAAAAATGTAAGACACTTTAACCGTCGAACACCATCAGCCCCTTTCCCTTGCATTTGCTTTTGATGCTATTTGGTATTTCTAAGGGAAATATTCGAACAATATTTTGAAATCTTGATTTGAAGATTCATTGGCTACAAGGACCAAAGTTCTGTTCGCTTTGTTTTTTTCTGTAAGATGAGAATAAATAGCGTCAACCTAGGTGGCAGGCACTCAGGAAAATGAAAGTAATTTGGGGAACTTGCAGGCAAGTTTGTCAGGCTTCGGGTGTCAGAATACCATTTATAGCTTAGAATATGGCTTTGAGCCACGAAGTATGAGTATTTTTTATTTGGCAAATACTGTCAAGCTGCGCTCTAAGAGCCTGGGCCAAAATGCAGTCCTACCGATGATGCTACAGAGAACCCCGCTCCACACATTCTCGCAACACTGGATTCTTTGATGATTATTTCATCATTAGTAAGGTTGTGCAGATTTCATATGCTTATGAACTACTTCTCTGAATTTCTCCTTTCTCTGTCAGGTTTCTTCATCCATCCGCAGTCATTTGCATCTTACAGCAGTAACATAAGAGATGAATATTCATGCTAACTGAAGGAGGACCATGAGCCGATCGACTGGTGCGAAAGAAAAGATTCCCGTAATTCCCCCAGTGTATTTAGGCCCAACACAAGCTGGGCGCCTGTCTGCCAGAAGCCTGCTCCGAAGACCTGGAGGGGGAGAAGACAAAAGTGCTTCAAGGAGCTGCTAGTGTTTCACCCTCCTGGAAGCGTTCAGCAGTCCTTGCTGTGTGGAGACTGGAACCAGGGGATCGTGGCCCGTGGCAGCGTGCTGTGTGGCCCAGGAGCACGGGGCAAGGAACTGTTGGAAGTGCTCTCTTTTGCCACTTAGCCTGGCCTAAGAGTTCCCTGTAGCTCGTAAGCCTGAAGTCTCAATTTATACATTTCTTTGTTTATTCTAAAGGAAAGAAGCAGGAAGTTCATTTTTACCGGTGACCTTGACTAGATGTTTTTGATGATGAAGTTTAATGGGTTAAAGGTTCATCATAGTTTATTTATATCATTATAAAATGACGCCATCCTTGTTTTTAGATCTTTTCACATTTCTTTAATGAGTGTGCTTCTTGAAATAAATTATACACACACGTACACACATCCATAGTTTAAAGCAAAAGTTTTTCAACTTAATTTACTTATTTTTATTGTAGCTCCATCTCCACCTATAATACAAATAATGTCATATCATTTTCAAATTTTACCTGGACTTTTAGGACAATAATTGTTTTAGTCTTTCTAAAATATTTTAGACACTAATAGAGAAATTTTAAAACATTTCTTCTCCACAATCATTCATCAAATACAACTTGTGTATTATACATAAGATTTTTGTATTATCTTTGTTTTCTTTTAAAGAGAAAAATGTTATTCTAATGGGGGAAAATTTAATTGCAAAAACGGCTTATAGCGATATTTCTAAAGTCACCATTAAAAAGTATAGGAAATTTGATGAAATGGCTCTTCCTAGTGTTCTGAACCTGGTACTGCAATATGCAAGCGCCATAACTTGTATCAGCGTTTCTCCAGCTTTAATGTGTATGCAAATTATCTGGAGATCTTATTACAATACAGATTCATATTCAGAAGGTGAGGGATGAGGACTGAGATTCTGCTTTGCTAGCAAGCTCCAAGTGATGCTAGTGTTTCTGGTTCATGGAATTTTGAAGAGTTTGACCATAAGTCTACTTGTCTAAATAGAATTAGAAAGTTGTAATTATATATAAATATCGTTTTAGACATTCAAAAATTCATAAGTTAAACTCACTTTTTCCATTTTTTTTTACAAGGGGCAATATATTAGTTGAAATGAATTGGTGATGTTGAATTGCTAATTGCAGAAAAACTAATCCCCCAAATGAATTTCCTTTCATGCTCAACCCTTACTTTTGTAACTACAACATCTGAGAATACACCCGCTTACTCCTTTCCCCGCTGCCTTACTGTTAAAATGGTTCTAAGAGCAAACGTCTGCATGTTCTCTTTTGTCTCCCTGGCAGCTGACTTGGCTACATTATAGCAGGGCCCAGCCTATTGGCCTTGGGAGATGAATTTTCCAGCTGAGAGAACTAAAAGCAGGTGGATACAAAATGACTCACTTCTGGCCCTAACAGTTGCAGAGGGACCCAGCTCAAGCAGTGTTTACTCTGAGATTCTGCTGCGTAAGGAAAGGAGTCTGTGGCGTTGGGGACTGTCTTCCCCGAAGCAATCCACGTAACTTCTTCACAAGAGTAAGGATGTCCGTGCTTATTGCACCTTCGCTCTGCCCGGCACTTGCTAGGTGGTTTGTGTACCTCCTGTCTCACGCTCAGCACCACAGTCGTCTGAAGAGGGCACCACTGCTCTTGCCATTTTGCAGGGGAAGCTGCTGGGGCATAGAGTTTTAATAGTCCTCCTGGGTAAGCAGCCAACTTGGGACACACACCAGGACCATCTCATTCAAAACGCTTGCTTTAAACCACTTTGCTACCACATTTCACCCTAGCTTGTGAATGCACATGTTCTGAGGCTTCTCTTTCTTAAATAGTTTGCAGCTGACTTTCAAATATGTATGTATAAATTATCGTCTAAAAACGTAAGAGTTTATTGGGGCCTGCCGGGTGGCTTATGCACTCCGCTTCGGCGGCTCAGGGTTCGCCAGTTCAGATCCAGGTGTGGACCTACGCACCGCTTGACAAGCCATGCTGTGGCACGCATCCCACATATAAAGTAGAGGAAGATGGGCACAGATGTTAGCTCAGGGCCAATCTTCCTCAGCAAAAAAGAAAGTAAGAGTTTATCTACTCTGTATCCTTAAGATGCCAGGAGGTACTATAAAAGTCAGTTTTGGAAACTTGGGAAAGTGAACATCTAAACAACTGTGTAGTGTTTCTGAGAGAGTTAAGTGAAAATCATTGTAAAAGCCACTGTTGCTACTTTTGATTTGGTTTTCCTTTTTCTTCGTTTTTTCTTTTTGGTCACCGGCTGTAACCAATGAAGAACTTGGGTTTGCTATGCCCAGACTCAGGTTCTGATTTGTTTAAAATTAAGGGTGAACCAGAGCGTTGGGTGTAGGTTACTTATAGCAACTACTGCCCTGTGATTTACTTATTCGTTCACTTAGTTGTCTCTTCCCTTCTAGTGCTCTGTGCATACCTGTAGGGCAATAACTCTGCCTCTCTGGTTTTAGTATCTCCGATGCCTAGCATTGTGTCTGGTATGTGAACATTGCATGTTTGTTGAATATAAACTTATGAATAATTAATGATTCTAATTAAGTCAGACCAAATGACTGAGAAATGCTCACAGTTGGTCACTAGGTGGTAGACTTGCCTAATTTTAGATGGCTAAGGAGATTTTTTTTTTTTTTTTTTTTTTTGTAATTTTGAAAGTCTCTACTTCCTCACTTGAAGGGGACAGGAGAATCCGTTGGAGCCCTTTAGAGTTGGGCAGAGTCTCAGGGATCATTGCTCATGACTCTGTGGGTCCCTCACTCTAGTTTGTCAAAGTGGAGGGCCATTCACTCTCTATGCTACTGCATACAGGTAGCCAAGAGAATACCTATCATAAATTTTTTTTCTTTTTTGATACCTTATTGGATTTTATTAGCTAACACATTTTTTAGAAGGATGACATCTATATTTGTCGGTGGAATGGGACAAAAATCACTTTTTCACTACCCAAATTTGTGTCATGGTTATTCTAGCCTCAAGAGAATTGGTTGGTGAGTCCTCCATTCTGTTCCTGGCCCAAATTGGGTAACTCGTACTCTATGTGCCCTGAAGTTCATTAAAGACCACTTGTAAAGCAATCCACATCCAGGCTTTGTGTGAGGTCTGGAAAATTATGTTACAAACCTAACTTTGTTGAAGTTTATAATCTCTTCAGGTTTTTTTACCCATTATGTGCAGGGTCATAAACTGAACATCTGACAGGTTTAATTAGAGAAAAAGATAATAAAACAAGTTGACTTTAAAGCTGACTTCAAGTGTTATACCCCAACAGCAAATAGAAATATTCCCTTCATAAAGAAAAGATTAAAAAGGTATAAAGCAAATCTTAAAAGTTAAAAAAAAAAGTAAATTCACCTCTCCTAGTTTATGACAGTTCAAATGCATGAAACTAAGGAGACGAGAGCTCTAAAGAGCTATTTATCTCGTACGTATAAGACCTTGAGTCGCTGATAGTTCATGTGACCATGACATTGACTTAGGGTTAATTATGCATTTATGGACAGTTAATACAGTTTTCCAGTAATTCTTCTCAGGACAAGTCTATATGGAAAAAAATCTGAGTGGTAAGAGATTTAATATCTGAATTGAACACTTGAGTGATATTTCGTGGCATTCGATGTGTTTAGTATTAATGAAAGGCATGCTTAATTGAAATGCAGAAAAAAGGGAAATTTTTGTACACAAAAAGAAAATCAGAATATAGCAGACTTGGTGTGGAAATGGAATTAACTGCAAAGAAGAAAACTTATTGAAACAATTTGCTGAAGTCCATGAACATAAACTAGAAAATCTGGATGAAGTGTTTATTTTTTCACGGAAAATATAATTTAATACAACTGGCTTCAGAGGAGCTGACTAATTAGAATGGAAAATAATAGTGAAATTCCCTTGAAATACCTCAGGTGAACATGTTGTCAGAAAGAAATCCTCCAAAATGTCTGAGGAACTGGCAAGTCAGGTGCTATTTAAACTATTCCAGGCATGAGGAGGCAGGGCTAGAGGGGAATGAATTGGCTTCCAGCCTCAGGTGAAAACAAGATCACGTTTGGGATTCAGCTAAGTCTTTCCAAAACGGTTTATGAGACGGCTTTTGCACTCCTTACTCACGTACCTAGAGAATATTTTGTCAGCTTGTCCATACATTGATGTACCTTCCATTTGTAGGAACTAACAGAAAATCTGTCCAGTTGATAGCTATATCATCCAGCTAAATGCCAGCTCTCTCCACTCACAGTGAATTCCAGCAGACTGGCCCGCTATCCAGATGATTGAGAGGAGACCTGGGGAGCCATTCATAATGGTTCTCAAACACCCTTGTGCGTCAGAACCTTTTGATAAGTTAAAAAAATATAGACAATAGGGCTCTATCCTCAGAGATTCTGATTCAACTGAGACCCAGGTATCAGTACATTTTTTAAAGCCCTCCAAACCATTCTAATGTATAGCCACGTTTGAGAATCACGAAGCATGAAAAGGTGTCAAAACACAAGAAAGCAGTTCAGATATTTAAAGAGAGTGTAGCATTTCCCTCTCCACACCCATGTGACAGCCTCGCCAAGGCAGAGCAGATGTGTCCGCTGTTACTCTGCTAACGTGTGGAATTCAGCTAGGAAAAAGCACAGCAGAGGTGATTTGATCATTTTCTTTATACCACAGAGATCTGGGCTTCATAGAAATATGTCTATTTAACTTGGACTTATAAGACCTTGAGTGGCTGATAGTTCATGTGACCATGACATTAACTTAGGGCTAATTATGCATTTATAGATGGTTAATACAGTTTTCCAATAATTCTTCTCAGGAAAAGACTATATGGAAAACAATCTGAGTGGTAAGAGATTTAATATCTGAATTGAACACTTGAGTGATATTTTGTGGCATTCAATGTATTTAGTTTTAATGAAAGGCATGCTCAACTGAAATTCAGAAGAGGAAATTTCTGTACACAAAAAGAAAATCAGAATATAACAAATTTTTAAAGAGATGACTAATGATAAAGTACTTTCCCTATGAATTATTAAAACATGTAAAGCTGCATTCATTAAATAATTTGTTCCTGATATGAAAATAGGCAAATATGTGAAATGAAAAGACCAGAGAGCGTAAGAACTAAATTCATGTGTATATGGGACTGCCCCACTCCAGGGATACCATAGGGCAAATAGTCACCTCTCCACCCAATTTACAAAAGAGTTGTAAAGGTAGTACAGAGAATTTCTGTACACACCTCATGATGTTTTAGTTATCATCTTGCAGTTTAAAAAGTGGCATTTGATTTGGTGGGTATCTGATGAATAAATAGGGTTGGTACATTTGAGTTCACAATTGGAGAAAAATCTCCCTCCCAGCATAGTCAAAACTGTTACAAGAGACTTAAGTGTATTTCACGTCTGCACTTTTTCACGCCCAGTACACAAGGTGATGATGGCGTGAAACTCATCTGGGATTCATAGTCTCTTAAAAATTTATTTTTAACAAATAAAAGTATAAAACAGTCAGGATTGATTTCTAAGAATGAAAAGACGTTGGAGAGAGAATTACCTGACCTTACGAGATGAAAACATTCTCCCCATTTGTCTTCTCAGATTCCTGTAGCAGCAAGTATCTAACAGTGAAATAGAATCAAGTTTTGTAAAAAAGGAAAAACAAAATGTTTTGGAGACCCAGGGAGACAATAACATTAATGAAGAGTGTTTGCTTTCAAAAGTTCCTAAATATTTCTCTCTAAGTCCTTATTTCATCTCTAGAGACTATTCACTATACTAGCCATGGACCCTGTTTTATTATATAAAAATATAGTATAACCTATCACCAGCGTTGGTGGGCAAGAATTCTTGATAGGACTTTTTTTTTTTAAAGATTTTATTTTTTCCTTTTTCTCCCCAAAGCCCCCCGGTACATAGTTGTGTATTCTTCGTTGTGGGTTCTTCTAGTTGTGGCATGTGGGACGCTGCCTCAGCGTGGTCTGATGAGCAGTGCCATGTCCGTGCCCAGGATTCGAACTAACGAAACACTGGGCCGCCTGCAGCGGAGCGCGTGAACTTAACCACTCGGCCACAGGGCCAGCCCCAAGGATTTTTAATTAATTAAGTTTTTGGTGAAGAAGATTGGCCCTGAGCCAACATCTATTGCCAATCTTCCTCTTTTTGCTTGAGGGAGATTGTTGCTGAGTTAACATCTATGCCGGTCTTCCTCTATTCTACATGTGGGACGCCACCTCAGCACAGCTTGATGATCGGTGTGTAGGTATACACCCCAGACCCAAATCTGCAAACTCCGGGCTGCCTAAGCAGAGGGTGTGAACTTAACTACTACACCACTGGGCCCCATTGATATGATATTTATGATGTGTACTGTGCCCCATTTTCAGAGTATGATGTAAGTTGGCCTGAGACAGTAGTTCTCAAACTCTCGTGTGCATCAGCACTGCCTGGAGAGCTTGTTGAAGCAGACTGCTGGGCCCCACTCCCAGAGATTTCCATTCAATAGGTCTGGGGTGGGAGCTGGCAGTTTATATTTCTAACAAATTCCTAAATGTTCCACTCTCCTGGCTGAAATGGATGCTTCTGCTTCTGAACCCAGGACAGCTCTTATCTGACTTCATTATTCTCATCTCCTACCTAATAGTCAAGATACCCAATCATCAGATTGCCCTCATTTCTTGACAGCACCATTTACAGAAGAAACTCTTGCTGTCTTAGCTCTCCACAAAGCCACCTGGCAGGAGGCCAGACCCTTCAAGAAGCCCAGCCTAGCATCTTACTGAGACACCCAGGCCTCCCCATGGGAGGTGTGCTTCTTTGTCGCAGTAAGTTAATAAACCTAACATGTGGACTTCATATGCGTGTCTGTAGGCACTGGGCTTTATCAGTACGTACCAGTGCATTTTACTTTTTCACGTGTGAAGGTTGGCTTTCCATTACTTGGAGCCAAACCAGGTTGACAGGCACACAGGTAGTTTCCAGTTGTATTGGTACAAGTTTTTTGGGGCGGGCAGGCAGTGCTATGATGGCATTCATCTCCAGCTGCAAAATGGAGCAGATGGTTCCTAGTCAAGCCAGCTGAATATATACACTCCTCCTTTCCATTAACAGTGGTGCCAAAGACTTCTCTGTGGACTGATCATCAGAAATATTTAGAGGTATTTGTTGAAAATATAAATCCCAAAGTAAATCTCAGACCTACTAAAAGGGAATTTCAGAGGAGGTGAGACTCAGAATCTAATGCTTTCACAAAAACCCTAGCACTTTCATTTAGCATACGGGTTTGGGAGGATGGCTGGATTGAAGAGAGAAGGGATTTTCCTGAGTTACTAGGAGTTTAACAACTATCTAAGTGTATATTCTCTGGGCGAATTCTAGAAGTAACAGCCTGCTGTGCAAAGAGGTAATAATTCTCCAGGGTTGTAGAGACAATCAAAATGAGAAGAGAAGACTAAATTGTTAATACAATGTCAACATCTAGTAGAGGAACTGGAAAAATTGGAAAACATCAGCTGTTATACTGTCATGATTCCCATTTGTTTCCTGGTTGTTCCTTTTGGTAATAACATGTTCAGGCCACTCTGTTTGCTTAGTAACATTTCCGACTACGGACGGCCTTGGGCTTTGGCTGAAAATCCTGTTCTATTAGCTAAAGTTATTGCAGAATGAATTAAGACTCTAAGGTGTGGAGTACTTTCAACATTCGCTGCTGTGTTTTTGTTTTTTTAAGCAACCAATAAAAGAAAACTCAATTGTAGACATGGTTTCAGTTTTCAGTTCTATTGCCTGTTTTCTTGCTGGCGTCTTTCCTCAGCTTGGCAACTTTTCTCTAGAATCTCAAACCATAGTCTAAGAAACTGGTTCAATTTTGCTGCATCTAATTCCATTCTCATTTTCTAAGGCTTACTTTATTTGGACTTACTGTTTCAATCTTCTGTGTTGTTTGTAAAATTGTGCGTTGCAGAACTTGATATAAATCCTACATCCCTGGTGGATTCGTAACCCTTTGTAATGTTGCACGTTGCATTTGGGGGACAAGAGGTAGAGACATTTTCACATGAGTGAAAGAGTGAAGAGTGAAGGAGAGCATAGGAATTCAGTTTAGACCCTGGACTGCCTCAAGTCAACTTCCTGCTCTTGGGTCTTTGTGTCTTGAATCCTTTTCTGTGCTGAGTTTGAGCTTTGGCAAGTGGTACACACTTTGTAAACGTTTGTTCAATGGATGATCAATGCACATGATGCAGCTTATATTATTTGGAAAAAAAGTTCTATTTCAGTAGGAATTAATTAAAACTCTTTCGGAGAAAGCTTGAAGCAATCCTCGTGGAGAGTCTGACTCAGGGTGTGAGCTGTGGTTCTCAAAGTATGGCCTCTAGGCCAGCAACACCAGCAGCACCTGGGAGCTTGTCAAAAATGCAAATTTCCCAGCTCCACCCCAGCCCTGCTGAATCGGAATCTGAGTCCCGGGCTAGGAATCCATTTGAACAAGCTCCCCAGGGCATGGTGGTGCACAGTCAGGTTTGAGAACCCCTGCGTCTTGGCTGCTTATAAGATAAAAGAGTTCTCTGATAAACATCATAAGAATTTTTAATAAGACCTGGTTTAGAATTTCTCGGTCTTTATTCCTTTCTTTTCTGTGAACTCAGTGGAGTGTCACGAGCCATCTGTCACTGTTTTAAGCCATGGTTTTCCATCAACCAAAATTCTTGGGTTTATGTAGCACGTGCTTCTTAAACCCCAGATCAGTTTCAGTACTAGTTCTATTTCTGACTCTTTCCTCTTTATCACCTCACCAAACCTATTACTCATTTTCTCTCTCCTATAAAGCTTTCTCTCTCAATCTCCCACATCTCCTTTCCTTTTCCAAAGATCCAAGTCCTTTTTACACCTCCTTATCCATTGTCCTGTCTCGCACCCTTTCTCCATCGTCTCTGTAAGGAGATGACTATAATTGTCGGGGCGGGGGTGAGATTTCTTTTTTAAACTACTTTTAATTTCTTTAGTTCTGATATTGAGAATCTTTGTTATTTAAGACTGATGATATAAAATTATAAAGAAAGAGATTTATCCTCTAACACGGGTTTTGACAAAGGTATAATGCTATGTACCCACTGTTATAGAATCATATAGAATAATAGTTTCACTGCCCTAAAATCCCTGATGCTCCAGGGCCATAGAAGTCTGTTAAGTGTGACTCTTGTCCTAGTCATAGATGTTTTGGATGTTGAGGAGTATTGGGGTTCTTTCCAGCTAGTATCCTCTGCTTTAGAGTGAGAAAAGGGAGGAATTTCCCACGTAGTCCCATGTTCTCACAACAGCATAAATAATGGAGGAAACGAATGTTGAAGGTGTAGAAGTGGATCATCACAACATATTGATCTCTGGGATTAACACGGTTAAAAGAACTGAGGAAGAAGAAAGAAGGTCAGTTTTTAGAAACCAATAATGCAACTTTATTTCTGCATTGATCTTGAGTTACTGATTTGGAATTTTCTGAATTCAGCATGACTATTGCTTCCCCAGGCAGGGACACAAGGATTTGTGGGTGTTCTGAACACATGACTGGTATGCAGCCCTGCATGCGTAACACATGAAATGTTCTGAGGCTGCCCTGGGCTCTGGTCGTGTGAGGCTGTCTCTTCCTATCTTTGACTTTGGAGGGCATGATGCTAGAGTGTTCTTGGCTGAAGCCTGACTGGCATACACCTTTTCTGATCCTTTCGCCTTACACCTGACATCACATCCTCTGATGCAAGTCATTTGCATCATGGCAAATGGCATGCATACAAATGGCTTGTTGACACAGGCTTGGGACTCAATCTGCGTAAAAGGAGGCAGTCCCTGGGACCTTGCTATCCATGGACGCAGGTGAAATCATAGCACCAAGGACTGCCAAACAAAGAAAATCTGCATACCCCGTCAACACTCTGTGCACTTGCTCTTTGAGATTATATCCTTTGAGAGATGCATAAACCCAGTCTCTGCTTTTCATCCTTTTTAGGCACCTGCGAATGGCACCAAAGGAGACATTGTTTCATCGCTCCCCATAGCATCCAGCCTTACCTGTGGAAATTTGTACAGTTCTAGCAGTCTTCCAATCTGGGCAGAAATTGACTGTTGTGTTCCTGTAAGTGTTGCTACAGACTTGCTCTCTCTCCTACAGGTGTAATTAGGGAGGTCCTTGTCCACCCCTGAGAGCCAAATGAAGGAACTCTCCAATGTCCTCTATTCACTGTGCAGAGCTTCATAGAGATCAAACCCCAGAAACGTGTTGGGTAAAAGATGGGAGTTTCTGTTAATTTCCTCAATGGCAAAAACCAAGGCCAGATCATACTGGTAGTTCTTGTAGTGAAACCTGCATGGAGGGCTAGGGATCCTTGGGAAAAGACTCAAACCAGGATTATCATCAAATCCAATACAGTGACTTAATTAAGGGTGAATGCCCAGTCAACTCATTCTATCTGTGTCAACAGCTGGCTCTCCTGAAGCCTTAGAATTTACAGCGAAAGCAAATCACCTAACTTACACTCTGCAAAGACGTTAATGAATTACACACATGTGGAGAAAAATTATTCAGTTTACAAAGGAAAGTATAATGAATGGAAAAGCAGGTCACATTCAAAGTAGGTTTTGGAAATGATTCTTTGATTCAAGAACCAAATGCTTGTTCATATGAACACATCATTAAATGCTTCATAGAACAGTAACAATATTAACATGAGATTGGAGACAGCCCTGGGGAGGAAGAGGAATTCTGACTTAAGGTAAGGGGGTAAGCAGAGAAGCATGACATCTGTGGGTTGAGAGTGGTGCAGCAGAAGGCTGGCAATCAAATTGCCTAAGCTTCTGCCTCATCAAACTTGTGTCTCCGCCACCATCAATAATCGGGAAGCTAAGAGGAACTTCAGAGCTTCCTGGAGGAATCATCAAAAGGC